AACTCCCCAAATGATGATGAGAATTGCCAACCTCTTGGCTGGACATGGAATGCTCTTAACACTTGAGCAATCTCCTTGAGATGATCTAATATCAGCGCAATTGCCGAAAGGTACCTAAGAAAGCCTAGAGAACCAGGGACACATCTCACCATGCAATTGTGTGCATATAGAACAAATATCTACATGATATCTGCACATCATCCATAGTTCCATATTCGCGTTTATCAATTTCCAATATACCTAAAGGTGCTCATTTACCAGTTTACATAGTAAAATGTGATAGTTCTTACAACTTACAGCTGATTATATATGGAAGTTGACTAACTCAACCAAGAAGGCTGAAATATGGTGATAGGTATTTTTCATTGGTTGGTATCGTGAATACCAGTCTTGATGTTCTTATCACTACATTCTAAACTGTGTTTTAATACATAGCAAGTAGATAAAGAAAAAACTGGATAATCACAGGAAGAGGTTGATAGGGATACTAATTATGAGTAATCATCCATTAGCAAAGGAATGATGCGATATTTCCAAAGTCATGACACTAGTTTAATATACGGATTGCTAAGAATGAAAGCTCGGTCACAACAGACAAAAAAGAAATACTTTGGATAAACTTAAATGCAACCATCAACTATCAAATGAGTAGTCAACTTGAATGACGAAATCTTACCACCATTTAAAACAGAAGCAGAGTCAGGATCCTGCAAAATTTTATTTTTTGGAAGAAAGAGTAACTCATTAGAAGAAGAAATTGAATCTATAATCAAAGCAAATAGAGGGGCTGCAGAAGGGAAACAGTAAAAAATCAGAAAATACCAGGCCTACTCAATAATCCAGATCTAGGTCCTAGTCATTTTTTGCCACTTGACTTACACCATGGATATAAATGCGGTTAAAATCAACCACATCTCTTGAATAAACAGCAAAAGAAATATAGAATCTCATTTTAACGGTGTGTAACAAGGTAAACTAATGTCGTATTTTTATCAGCAATTTCAGTCCCCCTTTCACCAATGCCCTACCCCCAGGAAAAGAGACATACAGTAAAGGGTCAATTAGGAGTATGGATCCAACTGGATGCTAGCTGAGATTAGCTATGAGGAGCTAACAAAACTGCCCAAGACAATGAGAAAGCTAAACGTTGATAATCATAGAAAGATGTTAGCAGTGCTTTTTAATTGTCACAGCTACCCTTTAGAGTGGGGGCTAAGCAGGACAGATGGAGCTCAAAAATGAGTTACTGTCACCAACCAATCAAAGGATGTATATATAACAAGGATATCAGCTTCAGGTGCAAACTAGATTGAGGAGTATTAACAGATGCGACAGGCTGAGGCCCACGGAAGAGCACAAACAGTGAATATATTCTTACTTCGAAAGTCACCTTATCAAAAGAAAAAATCTACTTCAAAAATCACATTGTGTGACAGGGGAAACACAAAAATAGACCGAAGAAAACTTACAGAAGCTTTATGTTGAGATTGTTGTTCTTTCTTTTCATCCTTTTCATAAGCTGCCTGCAACTCAATACAATGTCAAGATTAAATAAAAAGCAGCTTGCTAATCACTCAATACATTCAACACACTTAAACACCTTTGCTTCTGCTTGACGGCGCTGCCTCTCACGCTCAATTTTCCTCTGTTTCTTCTCTTGTCGCAGACGCTCATATTTTCGGCAGTGCTCTTCAATTTTACGAGCATTAGGTTCAACCTGCCATATTTACAGCCAGAGAAGCTGTTAGATTTAAAGTTTAAGGGTACGTCGGGGAGAAGTAATGTGCACAAAAAGAAGTTTGAAGATATGACCTTTTTAAGTATCTCGGCAATCTCCTCATCAAAATCTATCGTCGATGCCACATGAAGGTCGCTAGCTGCCTCTTTCCATAAGCCCAACATTGCCCTAGCCATACCCCTTACTTTGTATGCTTTTGCTGAGTCGGAGTTGATCTTTAAATGAAATGATTTTAAGTGTCAGTAGGAGTCAAGATGCAATCGCGGGCATATAAATGAACCTAAAATTTCATTTCTAGTTAATGAAACCATGTTCGGAAATATCCTCCGAGAAACCTTTAATGCAGCATCAGCATCACGGATCGCGGCGTTGGGTTTTTTCAGCTTATTGAAGACACTACCTGTGTAGACATTAGTGTTTGTCAAAAGACCACTTGAATGACATAATACAGAATCCAAAACTTTAAGATGTTAGGAAATAACCTCTTGTGGCGTATAATATTGCAGAGTTTGGATTCAACAAAATTGCTTCTGTTAAATGATTTATGGCTTCATTAAGCTTGCCTGCCAGGAATATACAGTTCCAGTAAGGTGTAATTTCCCAAATTAAGATTGTAAAAGAAGGATCTATATTACTCATTTAGGTAAAGATTAACGTGCCTTCAGATATTGCATCAAGAGCTTTAGCTTTTGATGCTTGAGCAGCATCTCGATTTTCTTCAGTAACTTCACCTGAATAATCTCCCATCTGCAGTTAGACCACAAAAAAGAACTCATTAAATACTTACGAGTTAAGACCATGCTGAAGTTGAATCCACCTTAACGCTTCATCACAGACCTTTTGTGGAGGATCATTGTCAGGTTCCACAGTATCGGTGTTATCCAACTCAACATCAGACTCTATAATGTCCTCATCCAATTCATCAGAATGTTCACCTCCGCCTTTTTCCTGTGAAGTCATTGCTCGGCATTAATACATGAAAATAAACTACATTTCCCCATTTCACGTCGAATGTCATGGTTTTTAAATCTTTAAGTTGGACCATGCAAAAAGGATGACCACTTTTTCAAAATATCTTACCTATACCAAATATCATAAGAGTGTAACAAATCCTACAAATCTACTTTTTCAAAATAAAAACTAAATTGCACTCCACCTTGTTCAACCAATCATAACAAGTTTTGCACACATTAAACTAAATCTTTGGTCCAAAATAGAGAGCTGCAAACAATCAGATGTATTAAACTAGGTTATGTTAGTGGGCAAACCCAAGCTAGAGGATCGCAATGAGTAATAATAGTCTCCCTTATCAAACATATTAAAGTAATGGGCAAGGATGCTGTTCAAAAACTGTACCGTTTTTCACTCATCCCACAAATAACTGTACTCATCCAGCCATCCAAGGACAAGCATATATTTATATGTACTGATGCACATCAACCAATGTATCTTTTCATGATTACAGAGGTATTTTTCTCTCTTTTTGATATGGTAAGTCCTACCCCAAAATCCTCTCGGGGACCAAAAATGACCCTTCCCCACTTTGCTCCCATGGTGACTCGAGCTGCCGACCTTGTTAAGAGGAGAGTCCTTTACCACTACAGCAACCTCACTTGTCCCTAGAGGCCATTAATCTAAACTGAAAGATATTGGTAGCTGAACTTGCAATTTATGAATGAAACATGGCATTCTTGCATCATTTAATTGTGACGTCTACACCAAACCTCAGCTGGGACTGCCTTATTAGTACATGAAAGAGGAACCACGCTGTTTAACTAGATCTCCCATAGTGTGGCTATTTTACGGGAAACTGATAATCAATAAATGGGGGTACTTTCAAGTGACACAAATTTGAAAGACAAGTAGCTTCAGCGAAGTAGGACCAGGATAATCCATCAAGCAAGCTTCCTGCTTGACGAAAAAATCTACGAAAGAATTCTGTATCTCCAGCTATAACAAAATAAGGAGATTCAACATTTGAGTAAGCAAGTCTTAAATCCTAGTAAAGTGGGGATTATAATTCAGAATGGTTACCGTTATGTTAGTCAATTGAAATTTATTATATGGATGAAATATCAAATAAGTTGACACGAGCTAATTTTGTTGAGAAAAGATTAATAAAAGTATCTTCTTTAGACTGATAAAGTAGTATGTATTTTACACAAAAACAAGGGCGTGAAAATAAAGAATTGCTGAAGGGCGAATTGCTTACAGATTTAACGGATGGAGGAACTCGAGCACCCAAGCTGAAATCAATTCATTCAACAAAAAAGAAAAACACAATTTATCAACAGTTGGTTCGTTCAAGCAAAGCCCAAGAATAATAAAACAAGATTAGTGTAGACTGGTGGTACCTTTCGAGAAAATTCTTGAAAAAAGAAAGCGAAGGATTTTGTAAAATTGAAGGGTTTGTTTTGCATAGCTCCACGAATTGCTTTAGGTCTTGAATTTTCTCATTATCCATGATCGTCTTCGTCCCCCGAGTTCACTCTCTTTCTCTGTCTTATTAGTAGTCCAACATTTGTCAACTTCCAGAACTTTGTCCGCAGGATAGCCGAGGGTTTTTCCTCTAACGCACCAAAATAGTCCCTTAAGCTTATGGTTAGATTTATATTGGTGGTTAATGTATAACGTGGTACATATATGGTCCTTTAACTTTGCAAAAAGTGAGCACTTTTCGTCCAAGAGCGGGTTAGTGAAAGGCTCATTTAATTCCCTTCTCCTTTTTTTGGTTATAAACTTCTTACTGTGTCTAATCAAGAGTCCATTAAGATATCAGGTTACAACAACAATAACTATAAACTCAGTATAATCTCATGACCGAGGTATGAGAGAGTAAATGTACGTGCGTCTTACCTTCAGGAAGGCAGAGAGGTTGCTTCCGGAAGATCCTCGGCTTAGAAAAAATAAAAGAAGGATAGCAGCAAGCACACCGATTAGAAAAGCTATGCCAAAATACAAAGAAACAAAACTAAAATTGATAATTGTAACCAGAAGACCAGAACGAAAGCAACACAAGCACACACAGAAGTCAAAGAATAGGAAAATTTATAAATAATGCTAACTCATGTACTAAAACTACTGTCACATACAAGGACAATGCTAGGCTACTTATCCTAACCCTTCACCTTAATCTTCAACCTCTACACTTTCTTATTCATGGATATGTCCTCAGTGAGCTTGAACAACACCATTTCTTATCTACTTATCTCTCCTCAATGCTTCTTCGGCCTACCTCTACCTCTCCTTGTGCCCTCCGGGGCCAACCTCTCACATCTCCTCACTCGTGCATCTGTGTGTCTCCTCTTCACATGTCCGAACCATCTAAGTCTTGTCTCCCACCTCTTTTCTTCCACAAGGGTCATGCCCACCTTGTCCCGAATAACTTCATTTCTAAATTTATCTAGTATGGTATACCCCGCACATCCATCTCAACATCCGCATCTCAGCCACCTTCATATTTTGGATATGGGAGTTCTTGACTGGCCAACACTCTGCCTCGTATAACATAGTTGGTCTAACCACCGCTCTATAAAACTTGCCTTTAATTTTAGGTGGCATATTCTTATCACACAAAACACCTGAGGCAAGCCTCCACTTCATCCATCCCGCCCTAATACGATATATAACATCCTCATCGATCTCTCAATTCCCTTATATAATTGACCCGATATATTTAAAATTCTCTCTCTTATGGATGACTTGAGAGTCAAGCTTTCACTTCTTCGTCCACCACCTGAGTCGTCCCATTAAATTTGCATTCCAATTATTTTGTTTTGGTACTGTTCAACTTGAAACCTTTAGATTTCAGGGCCTACCTCCAATTCTCTGAACTCTCGTTAATACCGCCTAGCGTCTGGTCGATTTCCAAAGCAAATTGAAATGGACTGAAGGTAGGATATGAGTTTACTAACTCACCTTGAGCCACTTACAACTTGCTTGGATGGTTTTTATATATCGATTCATAATTTTTTTTTATCGATTTATAATGTATTGTATAGTATTTGTATTATGTTGTACTGTATCGTTTTAATATATACATGTTTGAATAGATTGTATTGTTTGACGTCGTTTTATGATATCATGCACCAAGAATACGAAAAATAAACTTATAATATTTTTTTTTTTAAAGTAAGGTATGATATAATATTATTATATAAAAAGGTAGGGTAAGAAATAAATAAGATTATTTAATAATTAAAAAGAGCAAGATGAGAGAAAAAAAGAATAAGTTAAAGATGCAAATCCACAAAATTGGTAGTTCCATAAAGTGGTACTTTTCGCTATACAGTAAAATTTAAGTAACAATCAAAACAAACATTGTATTTAAAATAACAATACAATACAATACAACAAGTAACAATCATCCAAACAAAGCTATTAAGGTGATTTGCAACAGTAAATCAAATTCTGGTTTCCATGTGTTTCAACTTCCACAAAAAAGGAGTAATTTTATTTTTGTCGATCTTAAGAAAAATACATAATGTTTGGCTTAAAAAAAATTCTGACCTGGATATCACTAGTCCTAAATATACAAGTTTACCGTGTCCATTTTATGCAAAAAATTATCTAAATTTTTGTTGTGCTTGTTGTACAAAATGGAGTGAGATTTACATTAACCGAGCTTTGCCAGCTTCCACTCTTATGCTAAGCACTATACCAACTCATTTCCCAGCAACAGCAAACAATTTTGTTCAATTCCAACTTGGTGCTAATCCAAACACAAAACAATCTTAAAAAATCAAGAACACGTAATACCAAAACCCTAAACCTGAAAACTGCGATAAGAAAACGCCAGGCAAAAAGAAGAATGAAACATAACATTGAAAAGAATGCTTCTTTATATTGGCAAAAATGGAAACCTGCAGAAGGCTCACAGTGTTTTCAGATGAAAAGGCTCTGATCACAATTACAAGGAAAACAACCTAAAATAATATATCGCATCTAAGAGAGAACTGAAGTATTGAAGTCAAAACGACCACCAATTTAGCTTTAATAATCTAATCTGGTACAGTCTTCACCTTGTGTCTACATTATTTTGCCACTGTTGGCATTTCACGTCTCCTTGACCAAATTGATTACATGGGGGAGGAAAAGAGCCTAAAGAATCTTTTGCGAAACTTCTGCTTCCATATCCAAGAGTGCTGCATTCTGGGGATTGCTTGCAGCTGTCGTAAGGTGATGCACTTATTACCCTGAATTCAAGAACACAACAAGCTTTTAACACAAAAGTGGAGTTTTTCACACTTAAAAGGAAGTACCAAAAATTCTTTAGGACTTCACACTTATAAGCAATCCTTTGAGATAAACAGATAAAGGACTTCCCTTTCTCTTACACTTTATGAAACAGCAAAAATTAACTCAAATTAGGATGAAAACAAACCCCAAATTACCTTTCTTTGCGCTTCTCCAAGAACCGAGCCAATGATGCCTTGCGTGCCTGTGGTACAGCTGCATATGATAAATGCCCAATCATTTTGCTGACATAACGTACCAATAAACAAATTCAGCAAAGAATCTTGGTGTTTTCAGTTTGAAAAGCATAAGAATATACCTGATTGAACAAAGGTGGCAGGAACAGATCCTATGGAACTGGAAAATTTAGAAAGTTCTGCTTTATTAGAAGGAGATGGTAGGACCCCAATTGATTTGATAATAGTTACTCCATTTGTATTACTAGACACTCCAGCAGATTGAGATCCACAATGGGATGTTATAGAAATGGGGCTGGGGAGAGTAGGTGTTGTGTTATGGGACTGATTTACAACAAAAGAGTCAACAGAAGAGGACTTAGGTATGGGCGCCTGAACTGGAGATAGAGCAGATGTTGCACTTGGCGTAACAGGTGGTGCATTTCCAGCAAGCAACATAATAGCTTGAGCCTAATCCAAAAGAAGATATAATTGGTGAAATTGTCAACATAAGATACATTTATGAGACCAACATCAGGGAGAACCTAAAGGTCTAGAGCATTTACCTTCTCTGGTGAAACATTATCATAAACGCAGACGGAACCAGCATAAAAGATGGTCAACTGAGCAGGACCTGGGGGAGTTTTCGGAGCACCCCTGCCAATAGAGATCCATAATAAACTCAGCATCTCCCCTCAATAAAAGTTTTCTCAATTAAGACACCTTATATCAATGCCAGCTAACATACCTTAAATCAGTTGTGCCCACGACAGCGCTGTTAGTTGGAACAGCTGAAATGGGGCTAGCAACTGGATTCTGTCCAAGAGGAGAAACAAAGGACTTATGACCAGGCATAGTCATTGATACAGAAATCTGATTTGCTGGGTTGGAAACTGGGAGCACTCTGACACCATGAGATCGATGCATGGCGTGTGCATCATAGTGATGAGGAGAGAAAGTTGTCGACATGTAGTGTGTTCCACCTTGCTTTTCAAGCATCATATTTTTCTGACATTTAGAGGAACAACTAATGAAAAAACAGCGAACGCGAAAGTATTTATACAAATCTCTGGTACCATTTGACAATCCCATGTAGGCATTTTAGGTGGTATAATTAAAATACAGCTTATGAGGATCGATAACAAACCTGCCCGACACCAGAGTATGATCGATGACTCGAGTCGACAGCTTCAGTTGTGGTTATAGTCACCAATCCAGTTGATGCAAGAGAATCAAAACCAGTTTTTGGCCTATCCTCTTGAGCACCCTTGAAAGAGAGGTATTGAGGATGAGTCGAGATGTTGTTCGAGAATGACCACTGCATTGCTGAACTTCTCAGAGGTGCTGCAACATAAACAAGAAGAGAAGAAGATACAATCTTAATTAGTTGCATCCAACATTATATTTTCTAAGTGTATAAACAGGCTTCTGATGTACAAGAAATTAAATACCTACTTCACCTTTTAACTCTACCAATACAGAAAAGACAACTCCTTGGTAAATAGTTTGTAAGTATATATTCAGAAAAGACAGACAAGAGGCCGACCCCCCAAACTATAAATTGTCATAACCTCTATGCTTTTTCCCAGACATTTTTTCCCTTATAATAAGAAAATCTGATGAAATAAATAATTCAAGTGCTTCATAGGTGCAGCTGAAAAAGGGGCTGAACATGTTCTCTTTCTTGAAATTAAAATACAGGCTGCTAAGTGCTAAGCATCTCATGTGCAATATAATAATATACAATATTTTATCTTCCAATGCATAAGATGAAGTAAAGAACATGGAAAACCATCTGGTCAAAGTAGTTTAAAAGTTTATACATAGAGCCATACTTTTGGCTTTCTTTAATACATTATTCTAATGGGGGAGCAAAAGTACCTTATTCATTACTTTAATTTTGTTCTTGGTAATGTACCACCATAATTTAATTATTCATTAAAAAAGGTGATTTGTGGGGCACCACAACTCATCTAAATTTTAAATTTTATTCTTCACAAATAAACTAATATAAGAGCTTATCAGGTGCACGTTAGTAATGTATATCCAACGCACAATATGCATTCAAAAAAGGTGCATGGACTACACTAAAGTCTAAACAAAGCCTCCCTCAAAATCCAAACTTAATAAAATAAAAAAAAAAACTAAATCCTATAGTTGCACAACA